TACGCTTTCACTCATTGTTCCCATTACATGTTTACTCTTTGTTATGTGTTCACCCTTTGTTTCTTGTTTCCTTTGTTCCACTCCTTTTGTTCTGACACATGACCACATCATACTTGTATATAACCTAGGTAGTTTTCTCTCTCTTTCCTTACCATACGCTGTAACCTCCTGTATCCCATCTCGGTTCTAGACAATACACTGTGGTCCTGTCAACTCGCATGACCACCAGTGATCTCATTGACAATGAGATTCCACTTTTTTTTTTGACACTGGCCACTTCTACTATTTTTTTCACTCTGGATGATTCCACTGCACCCTGGTTTACTCGCCACACCACTTATTCACATTCTCTCACAATTCACACTCCCCTATCCAGTTCCACATGAAATTGCCTTCCATTGCCACACACATTTCCCAATTCAGATGACAGCAATGATGACAGTGACACATCACCGATGGCATCAAAGATCATTGCTGCCTTCACTGGCCCCCTCACAGCAACTGCTATTGAAGTGTGTGTGAGGATGGATTTGCTATCTATGCCTCCACAAAAACAGACAAAGCTCCAGACCTCTCTATTGACATGAAGATCCAACTTGCAGGTGCCAATATGCAAGAACCAACAATGGCTGCCTGGTGGAATGCTGGCCACATGGATTTCTTGAAGCTCACATCATGGGAGACATTTGAGAAGCAGATCCAAAGCTGTTTTATGCCCAAGGGCTACAAGATGGTTGCCCTTCGCACATTCTTTTTGTGTGCTCAAAATTGGCACTCATTTTGGATTATGCTGCTGCTCTTGCAGATGCATGCAACATGTTAGGGCCAATCATTATCAATGTCCATATCTACAAGTACCAGCTCCTCTTTCATTCCCACCCCATGCTCCTCCTTCACATCATGGCTATTCTGGACTTTGACCTTGAGACCATCAGCTTCGACAACCTTGTTGCTCTCATGTCCATGCAGTGGGAAAGCCTTATCATGGAGATTCCTGCTACTCATTCCACCTGTTAAGGTGCATACACAGAGGGTTTCCAGAGAAACCCATGGGAAATCTGTGTTAGGGCAACACTAACAAGGCTACCAAACACAAGATAAAACACAGAGATATGAAATGAAAAGGAGACAGCTCAATGACAGGGGAGATCACACTTGTTTTTAGTGGGATTCCTAAGAGATTGAAACTAAAGATCAACTATGTACATGCCCCTATTTATACTATTTATTTAATATCTTTTATTGATGAAAAATCTAAGAAGAATACTAAAAACGTCATGTATGCACCTTACATTGCATAGCTGTGCTTCGGCACTTATGTAATCCCACGCGGCGCTGTGTAGGTCCGCGCGGCGCTTCGGCGTTTGCGTAGGCTCCGACTGTTGTTGCAGTGACGGTGCACAAGGACGCCTCCATGGACACACAGTGCTTCGCACTGTGTGTCTGTCGGGGCGTAGGCAGCACTGTCGGCGTTATGTCAGCGCCGTCGTTTACGCCATGCCGCCATTACGTCGCATCGCGGTGCTATTGTGCTGCGTCGCTGTGCTGCTGTGCTGCTGTGCTGCTGTGCGGCCACCTCTGTATGACCATCGGGTCTTGGGTGGCAGCGTCGACCTTATGTCGACGCCGTCGCTGTGTTACTGCACCGCGCTGCTTTTCGTGCGGGCGGCAACGCGATTACGTAATCACTCTCGTACCATGCTTGTATTGCTACATGTATATTTAGTTAAAATAAACTAAAATCAAAAATAAATGGCAAAAATATATATTATATATATTGCCCTGACAATCTGGTAGGATGTGGCTTCAGCTTATAGGCTGTGCCCTCATGAGATCATCCAATTTCAAACAGGCAGACAGGAATCCCGGGGAGTCTGGGTGGGGTTCGTGGGTTGAGAGGTCAGGGAGTTGAGATAGATAAGTCAGAGGTTGAGTGATAGATGGGTCAGATCCTGTGGGCTCCAATGCGCAAGAGTGGTGCGTTTCAAAGAGGAATTTAGAGTGGAAAATATACTAAGATTACTGGGGAGAATCTAAGCTGATTTTCTGACTGGATTGTATGTACAACATCTGCCAGACTATATAGACTGTGGAATGAATAACATACCAAATCCAGTAATAATGAAAACTAAACTAGCAAACATAAAATGAGATAAAATAAACACCAAACTTGGTGTTAGGAATGGGATGGAACGGAGTGGAGTCTGAATTGTGACAGGTCATAAAACCATAATGGGAATGGGGTGGGAGTGGAGTCCAAATTGTGACAGGTCATTTGACTATAACGGGAATGGGGCTCAGTTAGAGGGCTGATGGGTTTTCCGAGTGGGGTCCAGTGACTGATGCATGGGACAGGGTCGGAGATAGACAGGGATGGAGTCCGGTGGGTATTCTGGTGACTGATACATGAAGTAACAAAGAACGAGCATCGACAAGTCTGATGTACAGAGTCTGGCGGGTTTTCCGGTAAACTGATAATTGGTGAGTATAGGGTGCAGGTGCATATAAGTTAGTGCCTGGAGTCCAGTGGGAATTCTGGTTGTAACACCACCCCTGGACCTGGCCCCACTCGCACATCATCAACAGTACCACACTCCCTCGTCCTGATCCACTCAGTATTGCTGATCACAAATGTCTTTCTGCAGTCAGAGAGTGTTGGAGGTGCCAAAAGGTCCCCAGTGATGAGGGTTGGACTGCACATGTTGGCTGCACCTGCCCTGGAGATCCTGCCTGAGGTGTCACTCCTGGCCCTGATTTTGCTGCCCCTAAAACACCTACCATCAAGAGAGAACCTATGGGGGCCATCCTGTTGGATGCTAAAGAGTATTTTGCTCAAGGAGAAGATCTGCCAGATGACTCCATTCCCATTTGTTACAGGGATGATGATACAGACTCAGATGCCTCCAACCAGCCCAACTGATACTGATGTGACTGTGAATTGATTTTTATTCTAGATAATCTTATTTTAATTGCTGTGTCAAATTTCTGTCACTGTGACATGTTGTACTATTAGAATGGGGTTTACAAATTCCACCACCTGAAGCTCCACATTGACAAAGGATGTCCAACAGGGTGAAATTTGGGGTAGTGGGTTGGTTTTTGTGTGGGGAGGGATGTAAGCTGGTGCCCCAGTCTTATGCTTTCACTCATTGTTCCCATTACATGTTCACTCTTTGTTATGTGTTCACCCTTTGTTTCTTGTTTCCTTTGTTACACCCTTTTGTTCTGACACATGACCACATCATACTTGTATATAGCCTAGGTAGTTTTCTATCTCTTTCCTTACCATATGCTGTAACCTCCTGTATCCTGTCTCAGTTCTAGACAATACACCATGGTCCTGTCAACTCACGTGACCACCAGTGATCTCATTGACAATGAGATTCCATGGGCACACTATTAGAGTGTCCATAGTATTTTAAGAAAGCCAATATGTACATACATTAGACTTCAATGGCTATACAATATTTACTAATTTGCTGCATTTTTAAAAATATGAGTTTGGTGAGGTAGACTGTGAATAGTTTAAGAAATTGAAATTGTCAATGGTATTAGAAATGGTTAAGGTATTAGAAATGGTCAAGGTATTAGAAATGGTTAAGGTACTAGAAATGGACAAGGTATTGGAAATGGTTAAGGCATTAGAAATGGTTAAGGTACATATTAGAAATAGTCAAGGTATTAGAAATAGTCAAGGTATTAGAAATGGTCAACAGTTGTACAAATGATCAAAGGTTGTACAAACAGTAATGGTTGTAGAAATGGCCAGTGGTCACAGAAACCATCAATGGTCTTAGAAATGGTCAACAATCATAGAAACAGTCAACAAATCATGGAGTATGACCAAAAAATTAAAACAAAAAATTACTCAATCAAGTATATGTATATATTTATATTGTTTGACATAAAAGTAATATTTCATCAGATCCAGTCCATCAGGCAATACACTGGAGAATGGGAAAATATTCATATTTATCCAGCATCTGACAAAAGCTAGCCAAACAATCATCTCTAGATTATTCTTTTGGAATAAATTCCACAACATGGATTGGTAAGCCAAATAGTTCTGGTTAAGTTTCTGAATGAAATAAAGTTAACTTATATTAACTATTTTTGAAAAGTCACACAAATATCCCAAAGATTAAGTCATAACATAAATATTATTGTTTAACCATGTCATTTGTGGATATTTTAAAAGGGCATACATGTCTTAAGATAAAATTTTGGGGAAATGAAATATAAACTCATAGAATATGTAGTCATAACCAGAAGGAATAGTCTCACTTAATAGTGAGGGTTTTTCTGTAAAATATTGTATATTCAAGAAATTGTGACCATCCTCCCATAGAAACAGTCAACAGTCATAGAAATGGTCCACAGTTGCAGAAATGGTCAATCTCATAGAAACAGTTGGCTTTAGAGACTGTCAATTATTTAAGCATGTTAATGATTTTAGACAGTCAATGAATATTGGTGGTCATTGGCTTCAGATGGTCACCAGTTTAGAAGTTGAAGAGTTCTAGAAGGCTGACTGTATCAGAAACTGGCAAAGATTTGAGAAACTGTTTCATGTTGGGGATAGTGAATCATTCCTTAATGTCAATGCCTCTAATGCACCTCCTATCATGGAGACTTGATTGTTCCATTCATTCTGGGATAAAAATATGCATGATGTCTTAGAGCTTATTATCCCCCATGGGAAAGGCACACACAATAGCAGCTAGCATATTGTCACCAGATACTTGTTAAACAAGCTTTGTCCATTCCAAGGAGAGGAGAAAGCACCTGGTAGCACTGATAATCCAAAGGCAGAACTTGCAAAAAAACTTGTATGAGTGGATTTGCCAGGCCCTTATGTTCTTGGTAAATTGAGAATGGTTGGATGGTTCATTTGTTGGAATGGGAAATTTTACAAGTGTCAGGCCGTTGTAAGTGCACAGGTTGGCCATCAGAAGACCTTTATATATACATACAATCCATAATATAACACTAGACCATAAGGTCTAGTAGCTCAGTGGCTGAGAGCACCAGCATATATTAGCCAGGAGCCCTTGATTCAATCCCAAGCTGGGTCAATTCTTTTCTATACCTTTAATATCATTCTACTGTTTTGATAGCAAAATAAGGGTATTATGCCATGGGACCATAAGGGGCCCTACACTGCAATTTTGTAATATTTGGTTCCATTGTTGTCCACATTCCATTGTTCCCCACTAGTATAGTGGATTTTCAATAAAGTAGTGGATTTATTCCCCATCACTCATTCTAGTGTCTGTCTGTGCCTGCAGCAGATACCAGTCTTACAGGACCTGGTTTTACACTTACAGCAATTAGCCCAACACAGTGAAATCATCCTACTGTACATGACATTGTTGTTAGAAAGTAGGATCTAATAGTGAACTCAGTCTCGTATAATAGATATAATGGACTATATATAAAATACCTAATAGTGAACTACAGTACATGTAAGCATACTGGAACACATAATAATAAAAAGCAGCTCACCTCAGTCTCGTATAATAGATATAATGGACTGAGGTATGGGGGTGTTCTGGCTATAGTATATATACTAAGAACAGCAATTAGTGATATGAATGAAGGTGATATGTAGTAAGGGGAATATGAGACAACAAGACAATGAGACATGCAGGCCACACCTTTGTTCCTTATGTGCCCATGTGGTCCCTTGACCCTGCATACTCTTGTTTGTCTAAATATAGCAAGAGGTTTTACAGTGTTATCCAACACTCCTCCTCACTGTAGAACAACCCCCCAAAAAAAGGGCTCCTCCTCACATGGAAATCCAGAACTCTTGTTAATGAAGGCCTAAGAAATTACGAAGATGAAGGAATTTTGATGGCTCTAAAGCTTTGGTGAAGATGTCAGCGATATTGTTTTTAGTGTTGATATAGTGTAAGGAAAAATCCCCAGCATGAACACATTCACAAAGGAAGTGGTACTTAATATCAATATGTTTGACTCAAGAGTGCAGAAGGGGGTTTTCAGATAAAGTGATGGCAGCATTATTATCACAGAAGATGGTTGTGGAGTTAGTGCAAGGGAAATTAATGCCAGTGAATAATGCTTGGAGCCAGCTACCTTCCTTGATAGTTTCAAATGCAGCGATGTATTTGGCTTCACAAGAAGAAGCAGCAATGGTTTTCTGTTTCTTTGCTGTCCATGAAATAAGATCTGACCCTAAAGTGAAGGCACAACCACTAATGCTGCATCAGGTGTCAAGACAATTCACCCAATCGGAATTAGTATATCCAGTAAGTTTAATACTGTTTGAACTGCCCAGGCAAAGTTCAAGGTTCCTTGTGCCATTCAGATAGCGAATGTCACAAATAGCAGTGGTCCAATGAAGTGTGCAATAGCTGTCAGGGAATTGTGACAACTGTTGAACAGCATAGGCGATATCGGGATGTGTGGAAATGGCCAAGTAAAGTAGGCACCCAACAAGAGATTGATAGGGTATTTTGAGTAGATCATTGGTTTCGATGGGGGATAGGGAGGTACAGTGGCTTCCAAAACTGTCCCAATGTTTTGGTAATTCTCAATAAATGCTTTATAACCTACCAAATAAATTTTCTAAAATAGTGAAAGTATTCTCACATATACCTTAGCATACTAGCTTTGATATACCCAAATATTACATAATATAGATGGATATTGGTGTCACAGTGAATATTTAAAAATGACCAATCATTGGGACAGTTTTGCAACCACTCTTTTTGAATCAGATATCTTGTTATTATAGTACTTTGTATGGCCTCCCTTAGCCTTTATTACAGCATCAAGTCTTCTGGGCATACTTTCTATTAGTTTCTGACACTCCTGAGGCTCAATCTTTGGCCATTCCACTTCCACCCTCTCCCATAACTCCCAAACTCCCTTTGGTGGTGAAGGATATTTCTGGAGCTGTTTCTTCAGGTGAAACCAAAGATTTTCTATGGGATTCAGGTCAGGAGACTGTGCTGGCCAGTCTAACACCTGAATATGATTTTTAGAAAACCATTTTTGTGCCATCTTGGATGTGGGTTTAGGTTGATTATCCTGCTGGAAAATGGCCTCACCTGCTGGAATCTTCAAATCTTCAATACTCTGGAACAAATGCTGAGCCATGATCTCCACATATTGTACATAATCCATCATTCCTTCAATATCTGCAAGCATTCTCACTCCATTCCAACCCATACAGTCCCACATCATGATATTTCCACCTCCATACTTGACTGTAAGTTGGGTTGTCCTATCAGAAAGTGGCTATCCAGCTTTCTTCCACACATTGATATCCATCTGACCCAATCATATTTATCTTGGTCTCATAAGACCACAAGACCCTTTTCCAATCATCCACAGTCCAGTTTTTGTACATACCTGAGGGCAAAGCTTAACCTGGCTTTCTATGTTGAGCCTTGAGCAAGGGCCTTTTTGCTTTCACTACAGCTTTTAAACCATGCTGTTTCAAGATCCTCCTAACTGTTTTGGATGAGACATGGGATTCATTGATGGAATTAATGAAGTGTGTGGCCTGGACAGCATTATCTAGCTTGCCAGAGGTGATTTGATGTATGTATGATCCTCCTCTGGTCAGTAGGAGAAAGCTTGGAAGGACATCCTCCTTTCAGGTTTTCTTTGTCTATGTCCATCTCCTGAGCAATTCTACTGATAGTAGACTTGGTAACACCTGTTGTAGAGGCTACATTCCTATTGGAGAGTCCATTTTGTAGGAGGGAGATGGCTTGTTCTCTTTTGAGAGGGAAAATAGCTTTCATGATAGGAATGACAGTTAAAATGTGACATTTCATGTCACATATTAATTAGAACATCAAGTAGATGTCACATGATTTTTCTTGTAATTTTCCTAGCCCTCTGGAATATAATATGATATAATGAAATGTGTGAAAAGAGAGGTTGCAAAACTGTCCCAATGATTAGTCATTTTTAAATATTCACTGTGACACCAATATCCATCTATATTATGTAATATTTGGGTATATCAAAGCCAGTATGCTACGGTATATGTGAGAATATTTTCACTATTTTAGAAAATTTATTTGGTAGGTTATAAAGCATTTATTGATAATTACCAAAACATTGGGACAGTTTTGGAAGCCACTGTATGGTTAAAGTGACAAAGTTTAAGGTTGTGATCCATGGGTGTAGAAATGGTAGAGGATGTGCTTTGGCCAAATTGTCGTACTATTCTGTCAATCAGGGCAGTGTGGGAGAGATATACAGAGTGATTTGGTCGATCCCATACTGCACTGCCAATGATGAAACTGACAGAGCCAAGCTCTGGAATTGTCCACACATGACACATTTGATCTTTGAAGAGATTATTTTGGTGGGAGTACTGGCAATGGAAAGAAAGTCGTCAACATGTATGGTGGCAATAATAATACCAGTGGTCATTTGTTGATAATAGATGCAAGATTCACAGGTAAGTCTGGTGAAGCCACAGGCCAGAATCTGCTCATTCAACATTTGATTCCATATTCTGCCACTTCGCTTCATACTGTATAGACCTTGGACTATAATCCCTACATAATCCTCTTTCCCTGGCTCCTCAAATCCTTCAGGTTGTGCCATAAACTGCACTTTGTCATCAGGAAGAAGGCCATAGAGAAAAGCAGTCTTGATGTCAATCTGCTTTGCATCCCAACCAAGAGTAGCTGCAATATAGAGTAAGTTATGCCAGGATTCCATGCATGCTGTTGGTGAGGTCATTTTATGATAATATTTACCATAAACTTGCTCAAAACCCTTAAAGACCAACCGTACGTTCCATTGAACTGCTCTACCAGATTCATCCTGTTTGATTCAAAAGACAGGGTGCCCCTTTCTAATCTTGCAACCCTGGGGAACATCAGAATGGGGAACTAGTTGTAAACCCCCATCTGTTTGAGTGAGTCTAACTCCTCCTGGTAGCCAGCTTGCCATCAATGAGTATCACCTGAACAGAGGGCTTCAGCCCAAGTCTGTGGTTCATCATTGCATGTTAATGGGTCAATGCCCAGTGTGTCGGGCATAGTTGGAAAAGAAAGATGTGCATCCAGTAGGTCTGTATCTATTGGGAGAGATGACAAAAGATTTTTCAGTTCATCAGAATCAATGGTAGGTGATGATGACGCAATAGTGGCAGTGTGTAATTCATTGATAGCATTTGATTGCTCGTGTCACTATAATTGCAATCATTCAGCACTGTCCCTAGACTCCTAAATAGCATAACCAAGCCTGGCAGTTGAGGTAGGTTGTCCAGCAGTGGTTCAATTGGACCGTTGAAGGAATGGTTCTGGTAAGTCATTGGATATCTCAATGTGGTATGGTTCCTGTAATGGAATGATTGCAGGGGGAGGATCAGAAAGCTCGGTAGGGATACCATGGGAGTAGTGATCACCAGATGAAAGGAGTGGCTCAGAGTAGTCATTAGATTGGGCAGTAGAATTGTTTGTGGTGGTTTGCAGATGGCCATCATGGCTCTTGAGAAACTTGATATGGTATGAGCTATATATTAGTCGCATTTTTGGGTTGTAGCACCTATATGTTTTAGACTTATCATCATATCCAATAAGAATACACTCAATTGATCACTCGTAAATCTTAGGGTTTGTCCAATTTTGGATTAAGACAAAGGCTCAATAACCAATTTCTTGTAGGTAAGAGTAGTCTGGTTTGCAACCATGCCATAGTTCCCAAGGTGTTTTATCTATCAGCAATTTGGTAGTAGTTTTGACATGTAGATGAGTAGCAGTGAGGTAGAATTTGTCCTATAAGTGTGCAGGTAGTCCTGCATAAATACGCATAGTTCTGGCTTTGGCCATCAAAGTGGAATGTGGTTGTTCCACTCATCCAATATGTGCTGATGTATATGGAGCTGTAAATTGATAATTGGTACCTCTGGATGCTAACCAATTAGTCATTTTGTGACTTTTGAGCTCTCCATTGTTGGTATGATAAGTGCCGACTTTTAATCCAGTTTTGACTTCCTGTGCACATTTGTGTTTGTGTCTGAGCTCTCACACTTCTTGTGTTTCACATACACCTCCCTTCTTCATTCTAATAGAATTTT